CAAATATAAGCCATTATAAAAAAAGGAAAAATAGGTTCTATTTATTATTATTAAGCTACTTAAAGATAAGTTTGTTATATCACATATATCCTATACATACTAAATAGAATCATGTGAACAGGTAATTACAATAGAACCTGTAAAAGTTGTATTTTTCCAGGTCCTGAGGGTTTCCTGCTTTTAACAGATGTGGTTTACCACTTTTCAATCACTCATTAAATATTTGCCTTAGAGTGGGTTGTAGGTTCTGACCGGTACTGATCTTATAAGACAGAGTCAACTGTCCCAAAAGGTTTTCCAGAATGTTACTCTTCATGGAAGATGATAGCCACATCGTTCTTCTGTAGCTCTGCTGACCTTTTAGTCAACAGCCTTGTGCCTAAACACACTACTACAGGGCTTAGGGGTTTGGTTGTGTTTTTTTCCTTATTCAGTGAAAAATATTTGAGTTATATTTTTCAGACAGGTTTCTGCATTACATAGGTTTTAGTTTAAACAGAAATTACTGGATAATAAATGTGATCATAGTGCAATTGTGGTAAGTCTGAAGGATAGCCGTAGCAAATGAAATAATTGATATTCTGTGGAATTTCAACATAAAATTTAGTATAAGTTCATGAGCTTAATATAGCAACCAAGAGGAAAGCAAACAAACTTAAAAAAGAACTTTGAAGAAAACTGTTATGTTTGGGAAATCACAAAATATTGTTGATAGTGCAAAAGACTTATTTTGCCTAGACAATTTTTATCAGTTATTCAATCAAAAATCTATCTAGAGTCTGTTATGACGGAGCTACATATGATTAAACCAGTTAGCCTTAAATAAAGCAGATTATTTTCCATAATGTGGTGGACCTCATCCAATAAATTGGAGGGCTTAAGAACAAAAAAGACTCAGGACTATAAGCACACACCTTGCTAGAACTCCTACATTCTCTTCACTGTGTAGATTTGGGAGCATAATACTATAGAAATCTATGACCTTTAACTTACCTAAAAATGTTGGAGTTTTTAATCCCTTGCTTAAATGATCTCATTCATCATTCATACACACACACACACACACACACACACACACACATCCTCTTGCCACTCCTTCCCCTTTGTTTACACCTGTTTTTCTGCCATATTCATCAACAGAACTCCAACTTCCTCTCAATGTGTCCCCTTTGTTGCTGTTGTTGTTAAGTGCCATTGAAAGTGTCCCTAGTAATATATTATTATCTATGAATCTAAACCTAATCCTGTTTGCAAATCTCAGTTTATATTTTCTGTGAAATCTTATTAATGCTTACAAAAAGAGTATCTATTTCCCAAAACTATATGTAGAAAGTAAAGCACAAAAAGCTTCATGATCACTCAGATTTCTAAAATGTGTTTATACTTATAAAATAGCTTGGGACTGCATTAACATACTTGTTGTAATGTGCAGTTGAGTCACTTGTGACTCACAGTGACCCTATGTACAACAGCTCTGAATCCTGCTCTATCATGTGCCAATCTTATTGTCTATGACACACCTAATCTCATTACCCCCGTCATTGAATCAATCCATCTCATTGAGGGTCTTCCTCTCTTGCACTGTCCCTCCATCTTCCCAAGCATGACATCTCTCTCCAAGGACTGGTTCTTCCTTGCAATCCAAAGTATGTCAGACCAAGCTTCAGAATCCTTGCCTCCAAGGAAGAATCTGATTCCACACTTTCCAGGACAAACCTGTTCTTCTAGGAGTCCATGGTATATTCAGTACTCTTCTCCAGCATGACAGCTCAAAGGCATCAATTCTCCTAACATCCCTAGTCATTGTCCAACTTTCTGACACATAGCAAGTAACTGTAAATACTATGCCTCAATCAGACGCACCTGAATCAATAGACTGACATCATTGCTTCTCAGTACTCTAGGGAGGTCCCTGACAGCTGACTTTCGCAATGCAATTCATCTTTTTATTTCCTAGTTGCTGGAGTGATTGAATTTACTAAACACTACATTGTGCTAATTAGAGTAAGATGAATTTTGCCACAAAAATGTTTTTATCATAATTTATTTCTAAGGATTAGTCTGAAAAGTAAAAATTTTCTGGAACTTACAAAAATTTTAGTCCTGTTAATGATTTGCTATGTATAAGAATTGTTATACATCATTTGAAACAATCCGACAAAAACAACAAAAAGTACAAAACTTTGTGCCATTGAGTAATTCTTATTCCTAGTAATTGTCCAGTGGGTTTCCAAATTTATAAATCTTAAAGGGAGGATAATATTCATCTGTCTTGCACAGAGCAACTAATGGATTCTAACCACTGACCCTGAGGCTAGCAGCTCAATACAATACCTATTATACCTCCAAGGCTAATGAAACATGTCTCTTTTTATCCATTAATAATAATAATAATAATAATATTTTCAATTTTGTATAAATCAAGTTATCCCTGGATATATAAATAGAGTCACAATCATAGGATACAAAAGATGCTTTTTATGGGTCTGTGGTCAACTTAATTAATAATAAAGTCCTAGATAACACTTAAAAAAATCACTCTATCTTTTCTGTGATAACAATCTCCACATTGTGTCTGAGTATTCACAAACAAATCTGAGTACTAATTGCAATTGTAAATGTATTTTGTGTTCGTCATGTCTCATCTCACTTTTGTCCCAGAATTTTCTGCTGGCAACCACTTTGTCCACAGGACATGAGATCCTTGGCTAGTTCCAGAAGTCTGTATGTCTTGTTGAGCATCATTGCTATTCCCAGCCTCGAACCTCAACACACCTTAAAACATTTGTTATTCCTCACAGATATAAGAAAGAATGAATTTCTTCCTCACTTCTGCTCCACTTTGCTTTGGTGACGCTGATAATTCTACAGGATCTTACAGTTAAAGAACCTATAAGCGACATTTCTTTCCACTAGATTAAATTACAGTCTATGATGTATGGATGGAAATCTAGCTCCTGAAAAAAGCCAAGCACTTTTCTACACTTCTTTTCTTCCCAGGTGTCCAATTTCTCATGCAAATATTTGTGTCAATGAATTACTAAACATTTTCCCTACAATTGTCAACCCTACTTTGATCCAATATAGACTCACTTAACAGTCTATTTCCTCTAAGAATACTATTATTATTTTTAATAAAGTGATTGTCCAGTTTACATATCCCAGAATGTTGTTAACAAATATATTGGTTAGAATATTTGTTTAAAATTTATCTTGCTATTTCTACCAGGATGTAACAAGAACACTAATTACAAGAGAACTATTGAACTATTTAATTCAAGACACAAAGGAGCCTATTATTAAATTGATATAACTTGTATAAATCAATCAAATTGGAATCATTCTCACTTGAAACTTGTATCTTTATACTGGCATGTTTCCAAAAACTTATAGAGTGAGTCTAATTAATTATGTTTTACTGTCATGAGTGAAGTCAATACAGGTCTCAAACACTTTTTTTTAAGAAAATATCAATGTTTTCTTACTGTGTGTTATAACTTACCATCATGAAAATTAGAATTAATTTTAGATTTTAGTTTTACTTATTGAGGTCAGACTTCACTAGATTTTTCTCAACAATCATTTTTTCCTCTCATAGCTAGTTTAGTAATCAGTCAAGCTCAGTTTACCAGTTATCCAAAAGTAATACAACAGAAATACAAATGAATCTTAACAAACAAGAACTAAGGGAGATTTTGTGGCCTGTGGATAGGGAGTTGTGCTCCTAACTCAAAGTGGGCTGGTGCAAATTCACAAACTGTTCCTTGGAAGACATATGGGCAGTGTCCTCCTGTGCCGCTTAGAATGTCTGACAACCTCTGGAGGGTTAGTTATATCTTCTCCCAGTCATGTTCTCCCAGAGGTTAGTGAGATTGAAAGATTGGTTGGTTGGTTGGTTGGTTGGTTGGTTGGTTGGTTGGTTGGTTTCAACAAGTTGTTCTGTACCAGAACCAACTCACAGATGATCTTCCAGAGAGTTTTTAGAGCCAGTTAATTGCACAGGAGGAAACTGTCCATTTTTCTCCCACAAGCTGGCTGGTAGATTCACACCATCTGCCTTTGGGCTGGCACAGTAGCTTCCTACCACTAAGTCACCAGAACTATAAAAAATTGCTCAAAACTTCAAAGCCAAGCTCACTGTGTCAAGTCAGAACTGACTCAATTAAATCTCTTTTGGTTTTGAAGATGTAAACTGCGTGGGAGGTTTTTACCCATTTTTCTCCACATTAATGTAACACCTGTACTGGCCTGTGGTCTAGAAACCGAACATTTTACATCAAATAGCTTTCTAAAAATTAAACCTTTAACAAATAAACCAGACAAATCTTATTAAGTTTACCTCATTAACTTGCTTTTTGTCCAGATGAAACACTTGACCAGAACTTGTAGAGGCAATTTCCTCATAGACTTTATATCCAATGTGCCTCCTGTCATCACAATCTCCAGTGAGCACAAATACCACCTAAACATATAAAAGTGAGACAGTTTAAAGGGTTTCCAGAAAATAGTCAATATATCTTTATATCATATATAGTACTAGATACTTGGTATAGATATATTTGTGTTATTATTGCTAGGTATTGTCAAGTCAGTTCAAACTCACAGCAACACAATGTACCATAAAATGAAATGCTGTTCAGTTATACCATTATCATAATTGTTGCTAATGTACAGTTAAAACAATGAAAGACTCTTTTTAAAGAGAAAAGCAAACAGGGAGGACAGTAGAGAGGAAAATGGTAATCTAAGTTTTTCATAAACTTTTGTTAAAATATCAATTTTTAAAAAAGAATACAAAAAAGAGTTAGAGTTCATAAATAAAAATACTGACTTTACAGTATGGTTAACACTGAACATATATAGAAACATGATTATTTATATTTCAAAAGTGTAGCTATAAAACGCAAACAAAACTGACTTTGTTAGGTTGCATGATGGCTTCAATTTCTTATCTGCCAAGCATTTTTTCGAGTGATTTTTAGTTCCTCTCATTAAAGTGGCAAGTATAATTTTTTTATGACTGTGACTTGCTTTGGCCAGTAGTATGAGGAAAAAGAGTCACTCTACCAGTTCCAAGACTAGGTTCAAAAGGCTTTGTGTATTTAAGCTTTGATTGAGATATTCTTGCCAAGACCATAAGAAAAAGACCATAAAGAAAGAACATGCCTCATCTAGACTTCTAGTCTCAGAAGGAGTCTGAAAACATATATAAAGCAGAACCAAGTCACTTCAGAGTCTAGCCCCTAAACACTCTCAGGCAAACAAACAAACAATATATAGCCTAGCTATATCAGTGGAATCTATAGAAATGTGAGAAACACCAAGTTATTTTTTTTAAGCCAGAGAGTGCAGGTATAGTTTGTCAGGAAGCAGGGTTTACACATAACAATGGGTAACTCTGACTCAATTAGATACCATATAGAAGTTGATATTCGAAATACAAGTCTATTTTGTTAGACCTCAGTCATAAGGAGAAGATATAAATAAGCAGCTAATTAACCTCCAATCATTTAATCTTTTATTAATAAGGAAAACATTCATTACTCAAAAGAGGTGTAGATTACATGAGAATTTGAAATTCTGTCCATCATTTCGCTTTCATTTGGGACCCTTCTGTGGAATATTTGTTCTAATTTTTTTTGTCGTTTTTGTATTCAGTAACAATAGCAGGGAACTATTCAACTCTGGTCATATGGCAAAAGTGGCAGTTGTTAACAGAGGCATTTAGTAACACATTCCTTTTTCTTTTTCTGTAGCTCCAAGCTAGCAGAAACCAATTCTTTTGCCTTTAATAACTCTCAAGCTTTTAAGACATTACCCAATGAACTAGGAAATAGAACAGAAGTAGTAAACATATTGCGGTTGTGGTTGTTAGGTACAGTTAAGTCAAGTGACCTATGAACAATATATTCCACTCTTAGAAACATGCCCAAAGTATGTGAGGCAAAACTACCATCTTTGCCTCCAAAGAACACTCTGGGGCTGCACTTTCCCCAAGATACTTGTTTTTTTGGCAGTCCATGAGATATTTAGTTGTGAAAACCACAGCTGTGACACCCCAGCTCAAAGTCATCAATTCTTGTCTCATCATTATTCATTGTATATCTCTCACACGCATAGCTAGTGCTTGAAAAATCTATGGCCTATATCAGGTGCACCTTAGTCCTTAAACTGGCATCATTTCTCCTCAATAATTTGGAGAGTTCCCTGACTCCAGGCTTTCCCACTGTAATATGTCTCCTGATCTCCTGACTGCTGGTGTCAAGTATGTTAATTATGGAATCAAGTAAATAAATATATTAATCATTTCAATCTTTTCCACACCTATTATGATGCTGCCTATTAGTCAAGTGGTAAAAATTTTTGCTTTCTTGATGTTGAAATGCTGAATACTGAATTCTTTGCTATTCTGCAACAAGTGCTTCAAATTCTCTTCACTTTCAGCAAGCATAGCTGTGTCATTTGCATAACTCAGGTTACTAATAAACCTTATTCTGATTCTGATGTCACGTTCTTCTTCATAGAGTCCAGTTTTTTAAATAATTTTCTTAGCACACATATTGACTAGGTATGAAAAGTAGATGAAACCCTGACACCATTCTTAATTTTAAACCATGTAGTGTTTCCTTGCTCTGTTTACACAACAGCCTCTTGTTCTAAATATTGGTTTCGTATACACAAAATTAGGTGTCGTGGGATTCTAATTCTTTTCAATGTTAGCCATAATTTGTGACTCACATAGCCAAATGTCTTTGCATAGTCAATAAAGTATACATAGATATTTTTCTGGGATTCTTTGCTTTCTGCCAGGATCCATCTGCCATCAGCAATGATATCCCTGGTATCATAATCTCTTCTCAATCCTACTTGAACATCTGGTATTTCATTGTCTCTGTACTGCTCTAGCCATATTTGTATGATCTTCAGCAGTTCTTTGCTTGTATATGATAATAATAACAACATTTGATAGTTTCCACATTCTGTTGTAACACCTTTCTTGGAAATGGGAAAAAATATGGAACTCCTCCAGTCAGTTGGCCAGGCAGCTGTCCTTCAAATTTACTGGCATAGACTGGTGAACACTTGCAGAGTTGCATCTGTTAGCTGAAACGTCAGTTGGTATCCAGTCGATTTCTGGGGTCTTGGTTTTTTTTTTTTGTCAATACCTTCAATGCAATTCTAACTTCTTCCTTCATTACCACTGACTTTTGTTCTTATGGTATTTCCTGGAATTTTTCTGTATCAATTATTTAGGTACAGTGACTCTGCGTATTCCATCAATATTCTTTCGATGCTTCCTGGATCATTCAAGATTTTGCTCATAGCATCCTGCAATACTGCAAATGTATTTTTTTCATTATTTTAACTTGAGAAATGCCAAGCCAATTATTTCCTTTTTATACTTCAGCCAGCTCTCCACACATTCTAACACTTTGTCTTTTCAAGATGCCCTTGTTCAGCTTTTTTTTTTTTAAATGAGACGATTTCTTTAATTTTTATTGGAATCCAGGACACAACAATAAAAACACCCAAAACCACATGGAGACAGAGACTAGACGCAACTCTTTCCCTACCACCTCCCTGGCCCAGGAGTGGGGACAAAGTGGGGGTGGGACAGCTGTGGAGAGATCATGAGCCTCAGTCCAGCCCTGCAGGCTCCAAGCCTGGTGGAGGAAAGGGCAAAGTCGAGGTGGGCCCAGCCCCCAAGGAGGAGGGAACAGCTGAGGGAAGGCCCGGAACCCCACCCACACCAAAACTCCTGCAGACAGGCAGGTGTGCCCCAGAAGCAAGGGGGTAGGTCATGGACACATTCATGATTGAGAAGCAGCTGGAGAGGAGGCAGGAGATATGATTATCTGGGGAGAATCCCTGGGGGTCAGTAGGTGGGGCCTGGGAGAGCCCCATGGGCCAAACCCTGAGGCCACAGGAGATGGGACCAAGGCGGGGGTAGTGAGTGAGGTCCTGAATGAGTGGGTCAGCAGCTGGGCCCCTTTCCCCCCCTGCCTACAGCCTCTCCAATACTGCCGCTGAGGGGCCCTCCTCCAGGGAAATGGAGTAAGAAAGCAGCCCACTGCTGCTGCGGACAGTGTCAGATGGCGGAGAGCAGATGGGCCAGGCCTTGACCAGTCTGCGCCAAGGTCTGTGGTAAAGGACAGGTGGAAGACGGTGGAGACAGGGGCTCGGCCGGCTCAGATCCAAGACAGTGCTGCGAGTGTTGGGCCCCACATGAGCTAAATTGCTGGAGACCCAGCAACTCTGGTTAGAGGCAGCAGCTTCTTAAGAAATTCCATCACAGCCGCTATGACACCTGGGTAACTCTTAAACTGGACCCTGGTAAGTGTGACAACAGACCTGAGCTTTCCAGCTACCAGGGCCCCAAACCGGACAAGCACCATGGGGTCCAGCTCCCCATAGCAATGCAGGGCGGCCCGATCCTTGGCACTGCCAGGTCCTTGGCTGCCTGGGAGAAAACCTGGTGCAGAGGCAACCAACAGCTTAACGCTACAATGCCAGCCAGAGGGTGCGGGCAGGTGAGGGCGGTGTAGAGGGACAGCCTCCCAGGACAATACGATTGGCAGGAATCCCATTCTTCATCACATGCTCAGCCAAGGCCTTGATGTTCTCTGCTGCCTTCTCAATGCCAGCCTCGTCCTCTGGGGCATCTGGACTCAGTCCTGTTAGGTCAAACCAGGAGGGTATCACCATCTTCATGTTGAGGGTCACAGGGATCCGAGGTGCATGGGGACAGATGTACTTGGCGTGATGGAACCAGATGGTGGAGAGGGCATCAGCTTAGCTGTGCCCTGTGTCTCAAAGTCCAGGTAATAAAATAAGCTCAGCCGTTTCCTGCTCAGCTCCAGACACAGTGGCAGCATCGGAGAGCAGGGGCACAGACACAGTGTTACCACACATACACTAGAACTCCACAGCTGGGGGCCTGCTGCTCCTGTTCCCTGCTGACTCCAAGTAGGCTCCTCGGCTTGACCACACTCTGGGATTCCCAAACACACCGTTCAGCTTTTTTTACTTCAGTATTTCTTCCCTTTGTTTTGGTTTCTTGACATTCTAGTACAATTTTCAGAGTCCCTTATATATATATATTTTGTTTGGTTATTTTCTCCTCTGCCTTTTTTTTTCTCCTCTGCCTTTTAATGACCTTTTGCTCTGTTCATAGATGTTAGCCTAGACATCATCCCAGAACTCAAAGTTATTTTGAAAATTAGTGTTCAATATTTCAAACCTACTTTTAAGATGATGTTTCAATTCATGTGAGATATACTTAAAATCATATTTTTATTTTTAAGGACTTGTTTTCATTTTCTTCAACCTCAATTTGATCTTAAGTAATTAATTGATGGTATGCTCCACAGGCCACACCCTTCTTGGTTTTAACTGTTGATATTGAACTTCCCAATGATTCCTTCTACAAATGTAGACATTCAGATTCCTATGCACTCCCTGGGACTAAACATGATATTGCACCAATTAGGATGTTCCACAAAACCAAGATTCGCCAGACAATGCAACACCAAGCAATAAAGCTCCTAACACTATTATGGTGCTAGATGAATCACCAAAACTACATTGTCTGATGGTGATACTGAAATTTTAAACTTTAAACCAAAAATATCCCTTGAAATTTTCTAAACGTACACACACACACACACACACACACGTAAAACTGTAAGTATTCAGCATCACACTTTTAAAAACTATATGAGTTAAATTGACAATAACAACTCAAGCTATTATATAAAAACTTAAAGGCAGTGTGTTTATGTTAAGGGAGGAGGAAGAATTTAGAAAAAAAGGGTGAGAATTTGAAGGGTCATAATTTGAAAAATGTAATTGAGATAACTGAACTTTATGTGTGTTTAGAAGTTGCTGAATTGGTGTGCATTTCATTGTGCATATTATCAGCAAAATCAACAACACGGACAAAGTAAATATATTCCATAAATATTATTTGATATTTTAAAACTAAGGCTTTCATATGGTATGTAGAAATATCACATATAACTTTAATGTGTTTGAATTAAATGATACATACACAGAGAAGTGTAAACATAAGGTTTCATCACTGTAATGGTTATTTCTCCTACAGGAATCATCAAAGATAGGCAACCTCTGAATTATTTCCTCTCTCTTGCACTGTATTTTTGCAAAAAAGATTAGTTGGTGATTCATACTCACTTGTGACTGTTTCTGCTGGATGAGCTGCAGCACCTCATGGGCGAGTCTGTAGTCTTTGGACCGTGCATCAGTGAAAACGTAGATGAAAGAGCCAGGGAGAGAAATTTCCAAGGCAATTTTTATAGCTCCAATACTCATTTCTGGACAATCACCACCACCCTATTCAAAAGTAAAGAGAAAATGTAATTATTCCATTGTCAAGGAAGAGAGAATATGTTTGTTGTAACAAATTGTTCTCTTTGCTTAGTTCCTGTTTCCTATTGGATTAATCACCTTGAAGGAGAGAAGGGTGGAAAAGATGTGACGTGATCTATCTGGGAGGCTAAACTTTATGAGGAGAAATGTGGCATCAGGATTGGAGGCATCATCAACAATCTGCATTACGCAGACAACACAACCCTGCTTGCTGAAACTGAGGAAGACCTGAGGTACTTGCTGCAGAAGGTCAAGGACTGTAGACTTCAATATGGAAGAGCTCAACATCAAGAAAACAAAGATTCTCACCACCGGGCCAACTGGCAGCATCATGATAGATGGTGAAAGATTAAGATTGGGCTCCACAATCAACACTCTTGGTACCAGCAGCCAGGAAATTAAAAGACAAATTGCATTGGGAAAGTCTGCTGTCAGAGACCTCTCCAAAGTACTGAAGAGCAGTGATGTCAGCCTAGAGACTAAGGTGTGCCTTATTCTGGCCATAGTCTTTGCAATTGTGTGCTATGCATCAGAGAGCTGGACAATGACTAGGGATGCTAGAAGGAGAATTGATGCCTTTGAGCTGTGGTGCTGGAGAAGAGTAATAAATATACTGTGGACTGCTACAAGAACAAACAAGTTCATCCTGGAGAGGGTAAAGCCAGGCTGCTCCTTGCAGTCAAGGCTTCATCTGACATATTTTGTACATGTTGCAAGGAGGGACCAGTTCTTGGAGAGGGACATCATACTTGTGAGTATGGAGGGACAGAGCAAGAAAGGAAGACCCTTGATGAGATGGATTGATTCAGTAGCTGTGGTAATGGCGGTGGATGTGTCAAAGACAGTAAGATTGGCATAGGATACAGCAGGGTTCAGGGCTGTCAGACATAGGGTCACTGAGTCTCAGGTGACTCGACAGCAAGAACAACAACATAGTTAGAAAACCTGATATTTATGGAAAATTCATTCAAACTACAAAAATAGTAGCTACTTTTGCTACGGTTGTTATGTATCATTCAGTCAGAACCAACTCATAAAAGACAATCCAGTGAATACTCAAAGGCTATAAATCTTATGAGAGGAGATTGTCCATTTTTCTCCTGTAGAGCACCTGGCAGATTCAAACAAGATGGCTTAGGGTTGACAGCCCAATTCCTTACTTAGTAGGCCACCAGAACAATAGTTAAATTTGCTTAATTATAATGTCAATTCAACCCTTATTCTTATATATCAGGTACACCTGTTTAAATGTAGTTGCATGTCACTGAGGCAATTTTGAATCATAGTGACTGCATGGCAGAATAGTACTGCCTTATAGGTTTTCCTAGGCCATAGCTTCTAAAAAGCAGAGCAGTGGTACTTGACTCACACAAACTTGGGAATTTTAAGTTAGCTGCATAGCACTTAAATCACCATGGCCACAAAGCTCCTTTTTGCCCATGTGTTGATGTTTTTAGGTTTTCGTAAGATGAGTACAATGCATAGAGACCCTATGAACAACAGATCTGAACCATGTCCTATCCTGTGCAATCCTAATCATTTTTTTACCTACTTGAGGCCACTGCAGCAATCATTCTGTCAATCTATCTGTTGAGGGTCTTCTTTTCTTTCACTACCTTCTACCTTGCCAAGCATGATGTCCCTTTCCAAGGAGTAGTCTCTCCTAGCAACATGCCCAAAGTATGTGAGATGAAGTTTCATCACCCTTGCTTGCCTCCAAGGATCACTCTGGTTGCACTGCCACCTTTCCAGGAATAATGTTCTACTACAAAGAATAGTAATGTGCTCCAAGTATGTGAAATGAAGTTTTATCATCCTTGCTTACAAAGGGCACTTTCTCCAAGACATAACTGTTCGTTCTTTTGGCAGTCCATGATATAGTCAGTACTCTTCTCCAACAGCAGTGTAGAAAGATACTGATTCTTCTTCTGACATCCTATTCACTCTCAGATCCTCTCTCAGTCCAACTCTCTGATCTTCAATCTCAGCAAGCAAAGTTGTGTGATCTCCTATGTAGTCAGGTTTAAAGTCTGTGTTATCTTTGATGACTCCTCCCTCTCCTTTCACTTAGTGGTAAAAATCTTACTCATCCTTACCATTTTGATTGAATCTGTAATTTTTCATTATATGTATAGTTTCTCGCATAAAGAGCTGAATATATCAATTTCATATTTAAAATCCTTCACTATTTATATACGTGAGTATGTTACAGATAGTCAGGGTGGCATAGGATACAGTAAGGTTCCAATCACAATTTGCATTGTTGTTGTTTTTGTTATGTGCCATCGAGTCATTTGCGACTCATAGCAACCCTATGTACAACAGCCCTAAACCCTGCTCTATCCTGTGCCAACCGCACTGCCTATGACACACCCATCCCGATTACCCCAGTCACTGAATCAATCCACCTCACAGAGGGTCTTCCCCTTCTGTGCTGTCCCTCTACTCTACCCAGCATGATGTCCCTCTCTAAAGACCTGTCTCTCATTACAACATGTCCAAAGTATGTCAGACGAATCCCCAGAATCCTTGCCTCCAAGGGGCAGCCTGGTTTAACCTTCTCTAGGATGAATCTGTTTGTTTCCTTGGCAGTCCATGGTACATTCAATACTCTTCTCCTTAGGTTCAGTAATTACTTGCATTTTTTCCCCCTAGCTTTAGTAGACACTACTGGTTCTTCCAAAGTGTTCTTCCAAAGAGATTATTTTCTGTCTTTGAAAGTACTTCTAGCTCAAATCATACTTGATGACAATTAGCACAGAACAATTAACCATTCGCTAGGTTAGAAATACCGTCATTAAGCTGTACCATGTATTCCAAATGTTGTGCAATTGATAAGATAGACTGTAATTAGCACTCTTGTGTAGAGTGTCAAACACTATTGGGGGGAAGGAGTCTTGCTATGATTTGTAAAAAAAGAAACAAACCCTAAACCTAAACTTTGAAAAAAAAATGTAAATAAAGTTTACTTTAATTGTAATTTTAACATTTACAGAAAAGTTAGACATTAGTTAACATTCATTTTTTGCACATTTTACTCCCTCACTCTTCCTTCCCTCTCGTTCAGTTCACTATTTTTTTTTAAAAAAGAAACCTAAATTTTTAAAACGCAGAGCAGAATATCTATTACAGACATAAATTGTCAGCAAAAATTATTCCTGCCCAACATCCCAAGATTACTAATGTGCCCAGTATTTCTCACTTTCCTAGCACACAAACCACATAATTACCCCAAAACAACCCTCACGCAAGGGAAAATATGGCAAATTCAATTAAAGAGTAAAGCTAGTAGAGTACGTCTGAAGAGTTGAGAGGTACAGCCAACTTGTGAAAGAAGAGATGATTTTAAAGAAGTGGACATATATTAACGCAACTTTGAAATAAAAAGTTATTCACTTCAATAAATATTTTCTCAATGAGTATGCCTGGTACGATCCTAAGAACTAAGGAATCAAAAACTCAGCAAAACACAGTTTCTATCATTCAAAGATCTTACAAAATAATGAGTAAAACATTTTATTGTTGTTGTTAGGTGCCCTCAAGTCAAGAATGACTCATGGAGACCCAATAAACAAAAGATCTGAATTAAGTCCTGTCTTGAGCCATCCTCAGACTTCCGGACACACAAGAGCCCGTTGCAGCATTCACCATGTCAATTCACCTGGTTGAGGGTCTTCCTCTCCTTCGCCAACCCTCCATCCTTCCCAACATCATGTCCTGATCCAATGAATATCACTTTCTAGCAATATGTCCAAAGTGTGTGAGGCAACACCACATCATTCTTGCCTCCAAAGAGCACTCTGGATGCACCCTCTCTAAGACATATCTATTCGTTTTCTTGGTCATCCATTGAATGTTCAGTGCTCTTCTCCAACACCACAGCTCAAAGGCATCAATTCTTTTTCTGTCATCCTTAGTAATTTTACAGGACTTGGATACATAGTAATCAGAAATATCATGGCCTAAATCAGACACACCTTAATTCTCAAACTGACATCACTACTCCTCAATAATATGGAAAGGTCTCTAACTGTAGATTACCCCATTACTTGTACCAAGGGTGTAAATTGTGGATCCATGTAAAATGAAGCTTAGATATGTATATATTGGGGAGGACTATTTGAGGATGGAGATAAAGTAGTTAAAACAAAAATCACTTAGATGAAGGTAATGAAGGAACTCCTCCTTCAAAGATTTATAACCTAGGGCAACATTCAGAGCTATTGCACATAGGGGTACTACAAGCTGCAGGTGACTTGACGGCATATAACAACATGGAAGGTCACCTTGAAGCAACTTGATAAAAATGGACTTGGAGTGGGGATATTTGTTTGTTTTAAGCTTTTAAAAATTATTACTGGTTTGCTTACAAAGTTTGTATACATTGTGTTTCACAGTTTCTTACATTCTCATGTATTATGTTTTATGAAATTAAAACGCATTATTACCTTGTCTTTTTACCCAGATTCTGCCCATTTCATTCTCTTCCCTCCACTCACCAAACTGTGCAAATGTGTGATTTCGCCCCACCCATCCTCACCTCTCCACTCCCACTACTAACCCCCCCTTGAGTTCCCATACATATTTTACCAGTTATCATTCTATTTTTACAACAATAGTCTTATGCAGTATTTGTCCTTATGAGACTGCCTTTAATAAATCCTTTTGTTTATAGTTTAATTTGAATTCTGTTTAAGAGATTTAAACCTTTTAGTTTAAAATCACATATTAGTAAAACCAGTATAGTGAATATTTTCATTCCTCCACAGGAAACATCTTACTTTCTTAGGAGAAAAAAAAAGGACATCTTCATAGAACAATGAACTTCAAGTAAATGAGGCATAGTATTAGTTAACAGCCAAAGGAAAGAGTTTATAAATTGACACAGCTACTAGTTGTAACCTCACAGAGCATTTCACAAACAAAATTATAATGAAAGGAAACTATTTCTTGAACTTAAAATA